TACAGTTAGAAAAATCCACTTTTGAAAGATCACTCTGCCGATCAAATAAAGCATTTTTTTCAATATAATTTGGTATTGAGAGTTCTTAGTAGATTCAATAAGAGTTCAGTAGGAGGACTACAGGAAAGTTTCAATAAGTTTTTGTTGTAAATTTGCATAGATCTTTCTTTGTTAATGCTTTGGTACTGATGGTTCTTCCTCATTTCTGCCAGCAGTCAGTCCTATTTTAATGTAAGCCCATGATTTCAAAAATAAGAATTTGCACTGGCTACCAAAATCTTATTTTAACACATATGTATCAGTTTACTCTCTGCAGTAAAAGTATGAATATATTTCTTAAGGATATTTTGTTCTTTGTGGTGTCCTCTGTTACTTGTGGTTCTGGTTTCCACTTTGTGACATAACCCTGCAAACTACAGTAGAACTGTACATAAAGGAGCTATACAGAACAGGGAAGTATTATTATAAGTGAACATCTAAGTGACTCTTCTCAGCTCTGCTCATCCTCCCAGTTCTGATCTGCCATCTTTATTCTTAAACCCATTGATTCTCTCTACATTTCTTCCCTGAGCCTTTTCATGGCTGACAACAGCACCATCCTAGCACCAGTCGCACTCCACGTAAAAACGCAACCACCAAAATAAAAATAAACTGCAAAAGTGCTTTTAGGAAAGAATTTGTGATGTTCCACTAAACTGCACTATTGTTCAGTCTTCATGCCCATAATTCTAACAGTTTCTAAATGGTCTTCTCATCCTCCTTCAGAATGAACCATATACTTCCTGAAGACTACAGTTCATAAAAGAAATCTTCATGAGGTAGTGCTATAATGGAAATACTGATACATTTTAGCCTTCATAGGAAGAAGGCCTCTGGCATGCAGCTGAGCCAAAGCTGGATGGGCAGGTATGAGAACAAATACAGCAATGGCACTGTGGACACAGGCCTGGAGGGTATGGTGTCACTCTGGAAAAGCCATGAGTTACAGCCTTTCAGGTTACACGTGATCAAGATTGCTGGGTGGGCATGCAGGGGCAGTCAGGGTACCTCTGCAGACTCATTTTGCACTGTGTAGTTTCCGCATTAGGAGGACCACATGAAAGTGTAAAACAAGTCTAGGTTGGGGTTGTGATATCACTGAGGGGGTATGCACTGTGTGCATATAGCTGAGGCTCATGATGCAACTTCAGCAGCATAAACAAAACATAGCACACCAGACCCAGTAGAACATCCCTTACCCTAGTAACATCCCTCCAGCCTAATCTACTAACAAAGCTTGACATTATGCTCATTTTAAAAGAGGAAAAGAAATTCCAACCAAAAATTTTATACCCAGACAAATTAAGTTTCATAAGTGTAGGAGAAATAAAATACCTTCCAAACAAGTAAATGGTAAGGGAATTCGTTACCACCAGACTTGCCTAAAAAGAAGTCTTTAAGAAAGTGGTAAACATGGATATTACAGACCATTACTGGCCACCACAAAAAAACAATGGTCTATATATGTGCTTATGTTCATAGACCATTGACACTATAAAGCAACTATGCAATCAAGTCTGCATAACAACCAGCTAATAACAAAATGACAGGTTCAAATCTGCACATATCAGTAATAGTCTTGAATGTAAATGGGCTAAAGGACCCACTTAAAAGGCACAGAGTGGTAAGCAGGATGTCAAAGGAAGACCGAACTATATGCTGTCTTCAAGAGACCCATCTCATACAACGATGCCCATAGGCTCAAAGTAAAGAGATGAAGAAAAATTTACAAAGCAAATGGAAAACAGAAAGGGCTAGAGTTGCTATTCTAATTTCAGACAAAACAGATTTTAAACCAACAATGATTTAAAAAAACAAAGAAGGGCATTACATAATGGTGAAGGGTTCAATTCAATGAGAAGACTTAACTATTCTAAATATATATGAATCCAACACAGAGCACTCAGATTCATAAAACAAGTCCTTAGAGACCTACAAAGGGACTAAGATAACCACACAATCATGATGGGAGATTTCAATTCCCCACTGACAGTACTAAACAGATCATTAAGACAGAAAAGTAACAAAGATATTTGGGACCTGAACTCAGCACTTCACCAAACTGACCTAACAGACATCTACAGAACACTCCACCTAACAAAAACAGAATATACAATCTTCTCAGCTGCACATGGGACATGCTCTAAAATCAACTACACACTTAGCTATCAGGCAAATCTCGACAAATTTTTTAAAAATGACACCAACCACATTCTTGGATCACAGTGCAACAAAAATAGAAATTAATATCAAAAATATCTCTCTAAAATCATACAATTAGATGAAAATTAAATTAAACAATAGGCCCCTGAATGACTTTTTGGCAAACAATGAAATTAAAACAGAAATCAAAAAACTCTTTGAAATTAATGAAAATGGAGATACAACATACTAGAATCTCTGGGACACAGCAAAAACAGTGTTAAGAGGAAAGTATATAGTGCTAAATATCCATACTAAAAAGTTACAAAGATCTCAAATTAACAACCTACCATCACAACTAGAGGAACTAGAAAAACAAGAGCAAGCCAAATCCAAATCTAGCAGAAAAAAAGAAATCACGAAAATCAGAGCTGAACTGAATGAAATGGAGATTAGAAAAAATATGCAAAAGATCAATGAAACCAAAGGTTGATTCTTAATAAATAAATAAGACTGATAGACCACTAGCTAGACTAATTAAAAAAAGAGAGAAGATAAAAATAAGCACAATCAAAATTGACAAAGAAGACGTTACCACTGTTGCTACAGAAATACAGAAAACCCTCAGAGATTATTACAAACACCTGTATGTGCACAAACAGAAAACCTAAAGGAAATGGATAAAGTCGTGGAAACACACGACCTCCCAATATTGAACTAAGGAGAAATGGAAACTCTGAACAACCAATAATGAGTTCTGAAATTGAATCAGTAATAAAAAAAAAAAAAAAAAGCTACCAATCAGTAAAAGCCCTGGACCAGACAGATACACAGCCAAATTCCACCAGATGTATAAAGAAATGCTGGTACCAATCCTACTGAAACTATTACAAAAAATCTAAGAGAAGTGACTCCTTCCTACCTCATTCTATGAGACCAGTATGATCCAGATACTGAAACCTGGCAGAGACACAATGAAAAAAAAGAAAACTTCAGACCAAAAACCCTGATGAATATAGATTTAAAAATCCTCAACAAATACTAGCAAACTGAATCTGGCAGCACACCAAAAAGTTAACCCACCACGATCAAGTAGGCTTTATTCCTGAGATGCAAGGTTGGTGTAATCTATACAAATCAATAAATGTGATTCATCACATAAACAGAACTAAAAACAAAAACTACATTACCTCTCAACAGGTGCAGAAAAGGCTTTCCACAAAATCCAACATCCCTTCATGCTAAAAATCACTAACAAACTAAGCATTGAAGGAACATACCTCAAAATAATAAGAGATATCTATTACAAACCCAGAGCCAACATCATATAAACAGGCAAAAGCTGAAAGCATTCCACTTAACTGGAACAAGACAAGGATGCCCACTCTCACTACTTCTATTCAACAAAGTACAGGAAGTCCCAATCAGAGCAATCAGGCAAGAGAAAGAAATAAAAGGCATCCAAGTAGGAAGAGAGGAAATCAAACCACCCCTGCTTGAAGACAATATGGATTTACACCTAGAAAACCCCATAACCTCTGCCCAAATGCTCGAACTGATAAACTAACTTCGGCAAAGTTGCAGGATACAAAATCAATGTACAAAAATCAGTAGCATTTCTGTACACCAACAACAGCTAAGCTGAGGGCCAAATCAAGAATGCAATCCCATTCACGATTGCCACAGAAAGGATAAATTACCTAGGGATACAGCCAACCAGGAAGGTGAAAGGTCTCTACAATGAATTACAAAATACTGCTCAAAGAAATCAGAAATGACACAACCAAATCAAAAAACATTCCATGCTCAAGGATAGGAAGAATTAATATTGTTAAAATGGCCATACAGCCAAAAGCAATTGACAGATTCAGTGTTATTCCTATCAAACAACTAATGACATGGTTCACAGAATTAGAAGAACTGTTGACTGAAACTCATTTAGAACCAAAAAAGAGCCTGGCTAACAGCCAAGGCAATCCAAATCAAAAACAGACAAACCTGGAGGCATCACACTACCCAACTTCAAACTATACTACAAGTCTACAATAACCAAAACAGCATAGTTCTGGGTACAAAAACAGACACAGAGACTACTGGAACAAGATAGAGAACCCAGAAATAAAGCCATACACGTACAACCATCTTGTGTTTGAAAAAGCTGACAATAACAAGCAATGGAGAAAGGACACCTTATTCAATAAATGGCTCAGGGATGACTGGCTAGCCATATGCAGAAGATTTTAGCTGGACCCCTACCTTTCACCATATACAAAAATCAACTCAAGGTGGATCAAAGACTTTAATGTAAAAACCCAAAACCACAAAAACCCTAGAAGAAAACCTAGAGTATAACATTCTTGACATAGGCCCTGGCAAAGACTTCATGATGCAGACTCCAAAAGCAATTTCAAAAATAAAAATTGACAAGCAGGACCTAATTAAAGAGTTTCTGAACAGCAAAAGAAACTTAATAAACAGAAAACCTACAGAATGGGAGAAAATATTTGCAAACTAAGCATCTGACAAAGTTCTAATATCCAGAATCTATAAGGAACATAAATCACAAGCAAAAACCAAACAACCCTATTTAAAAATGGGCAAAGGATATGAACAGATACTTCTCAAAAGAAGAAACACACGCAATCAAAAAGCATATGAAAAAAAGCTCAATATCACTAATCATCAGAGAAAGGCAAACCAAAACCACAATGAGATACCATCTCACACAGTCAGCATGGATATTGTTAAAATGTCAAAAAATAACAGATGCTTGTAGAGAAAATGGAACACTTACACATTGCTGATGGGAATGTAAATTAGATCAGTCACTGTGGAAAGCAGTCTGGAGATTTCTGAAGGAAATTAAAATAGAAATGTCATTTGACCTAGAAATACCATTGTTGGGTACATACCAAAGGGAATATAAAGGGTTCTACCATAAAGACACAGGCACATGTATGTTCATTGCAGCATTATTGACAATAATGAAGACACTGAATCAATCTAAATGCCCCAACAGTGGTGGACTGAATAAAGAAAATATACTTCTACACCATGGACTACTATGTAGCCATTAAAAAAAAAACTGAGAGCATGTCCTTTGCAGCAACATGGCTAATCTAATTTACCTTCCCACCAACAGCATATAATCATTCCCTTTTCTCTGCAACCTTGCCAGCATGTGTTATTTTTGATTTTTAATAATATTAATACTTATGCTAACTGGTAGGAGATTGTATCTTATTTTGCTTTTGACTTGTATTTCCCTAATGATTAATGATATTGAGCTTTTTTTCATATGCTTATTTGTTGTATGTATGTCTTCTTTTGGAAGTGTCTGTTCATGTTCTTTAGTCACTTTTTAATAGGATTGTTTGTTTTTTGCTTGTTGATTTATGTTTTTTACAGGTTCTGGATATTAGACCTTTATCAGATGCATAGTTTGTCCTTTGTAACAACATGGATGGAGGCTATTATCCTAACTGAATTAATGCAGGAACAGAAAACCAACCGCTACCTGTTCCCACTTATAAGTGGGAGCTAAACACTGAGTACACATGGACACAAGGAAGGGAACAATAAATACCAGGGCCTGCTTGGAAGTGGAGGGTGGGAGGAGGGTGAGGATTGAAAAACTACCCATTGGGTGTTATGCTGATTACCTAGGTGACAAAACCATCTGAAAAACAAGCCCCATTATATACAATTTTCCTATGGAACAAACTTTCACGTGTACCCCTTGAACCTAAAAGTTCAAAAGAAAAAAAAAGATTCCAGTCCATTATATTGGAGCAGGTACTGAGGGTTAATTTGGAGCTGAGAGGCATAAAGTTGATAACCATGTTGCTGAACACATTCACACTTTGGTCATTGTTAGTTATCCCTTTGAAAATTGTCTGTTCATGTCATAATCATTTTTTTTTTGCATGGAATAATTTTATATCTATTGTTTCTACAAATCCTTTACATGTTAACAATGCCAATTTAAATAGCTCATCATTTATATTTTGTTTATAGATTTTGGACATAGAAGAGTATTAAGTTTTATGTAGAAAAATATGTATTTTTTCTTTTGCCTAAATTTCTTTTGTCTATATGCTTAAACTTTTCCTATTAAGATCAGACAAATAATCGCCTACATTATCTTCTGCTCTACTTTCTTTTTATTTAAAATTTAAACCCCATAGGGAATTCTCTTTGATATATGATATGAAATAGCAATCTAATTTTATTCTTCCCCAAGTGTTTTCCAATTATCTCGAAGGCTAAAAGAGCTATTTTTCCCTCTAATTGTCTTTATTTTATGTCAAATTATTAAATAATTGATGTTTACAGAAACAAAAATTGATTTTATATATACCTATGAACCCGTCACATATATGTAACAGATGTTACCAACATCACACATATGTAACATACTACATGTTACAATGTAGTCATAAATTTTTAAAGGACATAAAATGTTATATACAGAGCTGTAACTCCCCTCTGTTCTCTGTTTTTCCTTTCCTTTTTTTTTGAAATGGAATTTCACTCTGTTGCCCAAGCTAGGGTGCAGTGGTGTGATCTTGGCTCACTGAAACCTTTGCGTCTCGGGTTCAAGAGATTTTCCTGCCTCAGCCTACAGAGTGACTGAGATTACTGGCACCTGCTATCACACCCAGCGAATTGTTGTATTTTTAGTAGAGATGGAGTTTTGCCATGTTAGCCAGGCTGATCTCGAACTCCTAACCTCAAGCAATCAGCCCTCCACAGCCTCCCAAAGTGCTGGGATTACAGGCATGAGCCACTGCACCAACACTCTGTTCCTCCTTTCTGCACCCCCCTCATTTCCCAGAAGTAACTGACATCCTCATATTGGTATATAATATTAGCCTGTATGTTTTAATATTTTTATCACATATGTATGTATACTTATTTGAGTGTTTTGTGAGTGTATGTAAATGGTATACCCTATACATCCCTTAGCAATTTGCTTTTTTTAACTCAACATTATGCTTTTGAAATGTATCTAAGTTGATAGATACACACACACTTCATTTTAGTACCATGTAATGTTCTATTTTATGAATAAATCACATTTATTTTTCCTTTCCCTAAAACTTAGAGACAGTGTGAACCGAAATGGTTTTAATGACTTAACCTCTCACCTACAACACGTGAAGTTTGCCTTTGCGTCACAACTCTACAGATTGATATTATCAGAAATTTATTTTTGTAGATGAGTTGGGTATAGAAAATGATCTCGTTTTTATCTAATTTGTGTTTTCCTGAGTACTAGTAAGATTATATGTATTGACCACTCAAATTTAATTATCCATGAGTTGCCGACCATAAACTTTCCCATTTTTCAATGTACAAACAGGATGTCAATTGCTGCGGTACGGAGAGCCATGGGTTCAAGGTAGACTAATTTGCATAGAGACCCTAGTTTCTTTCCAATAGGAAAATAGTGGAGACACTAAGCTCTGCACTACAGCAAACTTGAAATGTTGCTATTCTCCAGGAAAGGATTACTGCATCACTAATAGTAATAATAGCAGTCACAATGATAGTAAGAGCACACATTTCCTGCAAATCTTGGAGGTGCCAGGCAGTTTGCTTGATATGTGTTGTCTCATTTAATTTTCACAATACCACTATCAGATAAATTCTATTATTATCTTCATTTTATAGAGGAGGAAACTGAGGCTTAGAAAGTTCAATAACTTGACTTAAGTCACACAGCTAAAAAGAAGCAAAGGCAATATTCAAATTCAGTTCACAGGACTACAGAACTCAGAATCTTAACCAGGCACCCTCTACATTAACCCAAGAGTGCAGGGAACCCAATGTAGGAACTTAGACTAGAAAGGCGTCACCACGCACTGGTGAACATTTATGGAACTGGACAGAACCAACCTTCAATAATGGCGTCATATGGCAATGGGAAACTATAAGTAGAAGATTAACACAAATTTGCAATTACCTTGGAAATATGACTGCTAGCTTTTGGTCTGAGAAAGCCAGCTGAACAATCTGGAAAGACCAGGAAAAAAAGCACTCCATCAGGGGATGTTAGACTTCCTGCTAATAGGAAACTACTGTTGTTTGAATGATTAATTAGCAAAATGAAAGAGATATGATATATTGCTACTCCTAGTTGGTGAAGCAAGTCATTTTGTGAATGTTAACCTAATCTATAATGCATATATATGCACATTAGTGGATTTTAGATTTATAACTGCTTTTTAAAGGAAGGTGGAGATGTTTGGAACATGGCCCTAGCCTTTTGAGTTTATACAACAAATGGTAACGATATGCTGCCATAATGCAATAAAGGAAGTACATGGGACACAGTGTCAACTGAAAAGAACACATCTTAAGGTAGAGCCTCTACACTTATTATTTTCTTACTTTAGTATATCGCTTCACATCAGAGATTCGTCAATGACTTATAACTCAATGTTAGTTCTATAGTCTTTAGGCTTTTCTATTCATGATTCACTTAGTACTGGTCTCCTAAAAAATTTAGAATACCTTGCTGTTCTCTTTTTGTTCAAAAAGGAATACCAGTTTGAAATGAGCTTTACAGTTTTATGCAAAAAATCTATCCACCTTTATATCAATAGTAATTGCTCAATTATAATTAATCATTTTAGATAACATGTTATCGTTTATTTTTTATTGTTAATTTTTGTGGGTACATAGCAGGTGTGTGTGTGTGTGTGTGTGTATATATATGTGTATGTGTGTGTGTGTGTGTATATATATATATATATATGTAATTTTTGTATATCTCATGTGCCCTATATAGAGGGTGTCTGTGTATGTGTGTGTGTATACATATATACACACACACACACACACACACACAAATAGGGTACATAGGTTGTTTTGGTACAGTCATATAATACCTCATAATTACATCAGGATAAATAGGGTATCCATCACGTCAAGCATTTATTCTTTCAGTTCTAGTCATCCAATTATACATTTAGTTATTTTAAATGTACAATAAATTATTGTTGACTGCAGTCACCATGTTGTGCAATCCAACACTAAATCTTATTTAATCTATCTAACTATATTTTTGTACCCACTAATTATCCCCACATCCCACTCCCCACCCCGCCCCCCCTGCCCCCAACCATCCAATACACTTCCCAGGCTCTGGTAACCATCATTCTACACTCTATCTCCATGAGGTCAATTGTTTTACCTTCTTTAGCTCCCACAGATAAGTGAGAAATATGAATATTTGTCTTTTTGTGTCTGGCATATTTCACTTAACATAATGACATCCAGTTCCATCTCTTCAATATACTGATTTCCTTTCTTTGGGACATATATCTAACAGTGGTATTGCTGGATTATATGGTAGCATTTTTAGTTTTTTGAGGAACCTGCATACTGTTCTCCATGGTGGCTGTACTAAATAACATTCCCACCTACAGTGTATGAGAGTTCCCTTCTCTCCACATCCTCGTCAGCATTTGTTGTTGCCTGTCTTTTGGATATAAGCTATATTACCTGGGATAAGATAATATCTCATTGTAGTATTCATTTGCATTTCTCTGATGAAAATGCATCAGAGTCATGTCAAGCACCTTTTCATATATCTGATTGCCATTTGTGTATCTTCTTTTGAGAAATCGCTATTAATATCTTTTCTCCCTTTCTAAATTTGATTATTAGATTTTTTCTATAGATTGTTTGAACTCCTTATATATTCTGGTTATTAATTTTTGGTCAGATGAGTAGTTTCCAAATATTATCTCCTATTATACATGCTTTCTCCTCATGTGGTTGACTGTTTCCTTTGCTGTCCAGAAGCTTTTTAACTTGATGTGATCCCACCTGTTCATTTTTG